TCAGATGTAGAAAGCTTAGGAGGCAGAGATTTTTAATAAATAAGAATAAAAACAATTTGTATTAAATAGAAATAAATGATAATTACTTTTTTTTTATTTAGAAAAAAAATGTATTTTTATTAAGAAAATATTTAATTTCCTTTTAAATCTATAATCATATAAAATAAATTTTTATTATTAATATCTTAAAAGTGTTATTATTACTTTTTAAATTAATTTTTGCAGTTATAAATCTTATAAAAGAAAGCTTTCTCTCTTTTTTTTTAATTCTGAAAAGTAATTTTCTACTGTTAAAAAGAAATTTTTAATACATTAACCATTGCCTTACTGCTTTAAAAAAATATATATCTTAGAATATTTTAAATTTTAATAAATCTAGAATTTAATATCAGATTCTTTTAGTTATTTTTCCTTTTTACTTTCCTTAAATTTTATAAAATTATCATCTCAATAAGTAGTTTTAGAAAGTGAAATATTTTTGTAAGCATTATTTTGTCATTAAATATGCATTACTTTTTAAGTTGCATGCATTAAAATAATATATATTATTTTTATATAATAATAATATAATATCTGTATGCTTCTAGATTTAATAATAATTTCAATAAATTTTTTTATTTTGTAGAATTAAATAAATTTCTGATGTTCATTTCACACTTTCATAACAAAAGGATTTAATATTATAGAGCTTTAAAGACTTAAAATATCTTATATAAATATCTGTAAACAATACATTATATAAAGGATATTCTAGAGAAGCTCTAATATCCATGTAGTGTATACAGTATAAGGTATTTTAAAAACTCCTATACTCTATATATGCGGGATATACAGAATATATACAGTGTATTGAAATAATATATTATATAATAACAATTTCATCAAACTTTTTTAGTAAATGTTTAAAAAATTATGAGTTTAATCTAAAAAATGGTAAGTTTATATACTAAATAAGAATCTAAAACAGTCCAGAACAATATAAACTTACCAGATCCATTTTGAATAATTGGTTTTTCATCCTCCTCATCTCTAGCCACAGCAACCGAGGTCGTAGCCCTTTTACCAACGAAGGAAGATTCAATCCATAATATTTTATTTCTATCAAATTTTCCTCGACCTCTGCACGAATGTTGAGGTATGCAACTATCACTATTAAATATGCTTTCTATATAAGAATATCTGTCTCTTGGTATTTCTAAACGATCACTTTGAGCTCCGGGTGATTTTTCTTCCTCTAATTCACTCTTGTCTATGACTTCTGTAACGTCCTGTAAACTGGCTACAACTGGTACTTCCTGACCAAGAAATCGTAACACCTTCCTCGATGTAGAATCACAGCTAGGATCAGGAGAGGTTGGAGTCGAACCTATAGACTGGTTACTACTTGTTGGTGATTGTGTAGATGAAGCTCTCCAACCTAAATAAGGTTGTTTGTTAGAACGATATACGTTCCAACTAAAAACTGGTCCACTGGCAGTTGATAATTTTGTACTACTCCAACGTGATAATGACCCTGTAGATGATGTAGGGCTTTCACCCGCCGATATCATTCCTCCCTTAGATGAACGATGGTTGAGATTAGTCATAGATAAAGTGGAAGTGGCTCTAGATCTTAGACCCTGCCAACCTTTATCCCTCTTTTTTTTTAATAAGAAACCATCTTTGTTTGTGTGACTCCATTTTGATTGTTTGTACCATTCTGGTACCTGTAAATTTTGGAGTGATTTCTCAAATCGGATTTCGTATTCGGATTTAGTTCGTCCTAGAGGATTTTCGGGGGTTTTGCTTCCACTGCTTACTAAATAATCCACGCTGCGAGTACGATTTTCCGATTCTTCCGGTCTTTTCTTATTTGTTAACATAGTTTGCGTGTGAATGTAATGTAAATTTGTTTCCTGAACTGTTCTGCTTTCTAAAGTGTCGATATCCGTCTCGAGATATCCTACACTTTTACTATAACGTTTGACTAAACATTTCTTCGTCAGTTGTGGCCATGCGGGTTGCGTAGGAGGTGCCACTTTACTTTTCGGTGTCACTTCCACAGGAATTGGTCTCGGAAGTGTCAATCGAATTTTTTCTTCTAACAATTTCAAATCCGGGGTGCTACATGCCAAACGGTAACGCGCTTCTCTAGCAGATTGCTGAAATCTTCTCAATTTCTGAACACATTCGGGACTTTTGTCGTTCGAAGCGTGGCATAAATTTTCAAAAAACTGCTGTCTAGCCTTAAACAATCGCCTACTAGATTCGGATTTGTTTGGTAGTAATAGAGACGATGGAGGAATGGGGGGTTTAACAACGTCGGCTCTCTTAACGTCCTTGTCGATTGATGCTTCAAAATTAGCAGACTGACTACCGGGATGTAGCCTATTAGGACTCATGACAATTTGATGTTTCGGTGTCTCCCGTGCGACTACAACAGACGTACTAACCGAATTTTCGTCAGTAGATTCCGCGACGCAATGTTTGTCATTCGTCTTAGAAGAAAAAGTGTCATCGACCGGCTCCTCGAGCAACAAACAACGATCATCGCCGTTGCCTAGCAACGGGACCTGTCTGCCGCTCTCGGTGTCCTGTCTCACCAGAGTAGAAAATTCTCTGTATTTAGGCTGTTTAAAAGAACTGATAACATTCCCCGAAAATCGTTTAATAGGTTCCTGTACGAAAAAATGCCGGTTTGTGCTGGGAATTACAGGTTTCGTAGTTAGTACCGCCTCGTGAGAAAAATCGTTTCGAGTACGAGCCGATGTTGTAGGAGCTGCAGAATGTGCGCCGGGTGAAGTCGCTCCTACTGACACACCAGCGACTGACGTACAGACCTCCACAGCTTTCCTCTCCGGTATGGCTGGCATACGGTCTCTTTCGAACCTAGCATCGTTGTCTATGCAAGCTTCGACGTTGAACTGCTCCCAATCCTTTTCGATATCTTGCAACCATTTCTGTCTGCCACATTTCATCCTCTCCCTGATTCTATCGCTCTCGTCCGTAGTCAGATGGGCTTTTCGGGCTTGTCGTTCCATATCACGCTCTAACAGGCGTTGCAGACGAGCATGACTTTCTGTTATGCACCTGTCGGAAGTATACGTGACGTCGTTTCCGTCTTTATCCATATTTTCGCACAAATCGGTCAGGTAACTGTTAACTGCGACAGGTAATACTAAGCGACTCTGCTCGTCGAAAATCGATCGGACAGGCGCGTCGTCATGGTTACGGTCCCCAAACCAGACTGAATCCATCTCAAGGGGTGACTCGACTCCCGTCTGTGTAATCTTATCGTTGGAAGCCTCTGACGGACTTGGTCCCGAAACTATTTTCGTCCCCCGTGTTTGGCAAGAGTCCGTTTCCTCGAACGCCAGGGAGCGCTGTTTATCTACGTCATCTCGAATCTCCCAAATTGAACGTAGTGGGGACCTACTACCGAAGTAGGGTCGCCCGCATTGGAAGACCCTACCAAATATCCCCCAGGTAGGGGGATAATTCACCTGAGCGTGTTTAGTCTTTATTTGAGTCTGTGAAGTATCCCCCTGATCCTCGTTTGTTTTCCTCACATTATCCACTATAATATAAACCGCCGCGAGTGCAGCTGCTATCACTGTAACCAGCTGACCGAAAGCTCCCCAGTTTCCGATCCCTGCAGCATCCATTATGGCCTTGCTCGATAGCCTAACTACAGCTGACACAGGGGGGGATACAGACAAACAGAGAGAAAAGAGGGAGTTTAAAGCAGGTGGGATTATAGACCCCCTACCTTTCTTTTAATGAATACCACCTGTCCTCAATTTGTCGGGGGATGGAACCACAATAAACAGGGGGCCACGCCGTTTAGGCGATCGACGCCTCCGCCCCTTTACATCCTGTCCGCCATGTTTAACTGCCAATGCGCCATTGCAATGACCAATGTCAGTTTCCATAGCAACCCTAGTAAACTCCCTCTACCCTCTACCGGTCTATTGACAATTCTAGGTGGAGTTGTATCATCTGAAAAGGAAGAGAAACAATTAACTAAAACCAGAAAAATCAAATAAAAAAAAATCTATTTTATATATCCTTTTTATATAATTCTATTCATAAAATATATCAGATTTTGTATCAAATTTAACGAAAATCACTTTAAAAAAAAAACACGTGTTCTCAGTCTTTGAACCTTGAATTCTCATATTTTCTAAGAATCTTCACTAAAAATATTCTCCTAACGATTCATAATGTTATTTATAAGTATTTAAACGAAAGATAAGTTTTTCTAAAAGTACTTTCTGTTACTAATCACTAAAGTTTCATGATATATTTGATATTTTTTGAACTTTACACTTTGATATTCCCCTTAAGATCTTTCAGCTTGGATTATTATAATTTTAAACATTAATAAATCAAAATTCCTTCCAGCAATTTTATATTTTCTTAATTAAAAAATCTTTTTTTTATAATCAGAAAATTTATATTAAATGAAATTTTAACGTAAATTTTAATTCATTAATTCCTTTTAGATTTTTCCTATTAAAACTTTACTAGATTCATTGAACTCCTATAAATCAATAATGTAAAAAAGGTCTGTAAACTTTCAGATATTTATAATTTTTCTATAAGAATTATACATTTTGTTATAAGAAAGTATACTTTTTATAATGAATACATGAAACAACTGGGAATTTTGTCAGGTTTTTTTTTATTTATTTATTTGTAAGTTAATTGCAAAAATAATTGCAAGAAAACCTCCTGTAGCAAGGCTATAAATACTTGAATCTCTACAGCTTTAATACATGTATTAATTCTTAAGCCATTCATGTATTTATAACCATCCTATAGGAGTCTGTACAAGAAACATCTGGATTTTTTCTCTTATATGAGGGTTAAAATCCATCTGTTTTTTCCAAGAGGGAGTCACTCCTTCCTGTTTTTTTTTTTAACTACAGTATGTTAACGTTGATAAAGAATAATTCAAGTAAATAAACTCGTATATAAGAATGAGGAGGCATAAAAATATGTCTTGTTATACTAATTAATTTAAGATTTTTAATTATATATATTATGCATATTTATGGCATTTTTTAAAATAAAAATGGTGTAGTATGAATGGGACGAGACAGTTAATTTAAACGTCATCTCCACCTGACTATGTAGGGGCCCATGTTGAATAAATCGATATATAATCAACTTTCTAAACATCAATTTTAGTCGATGACTATGGCCCGATAATTGCCATAACCGGTAAATTATGTTCATCGATCTTTAACATAGACTTTAAATAAGTTAATTAACTTAGCATAGACTTAATCCATTAAAAATGCATAAAGATAGAACTTACTCATTTTTTCTGTGTATAATATTCCTTATCGTTCTATTGAATAAATTATGTATAATATTAAGTTCAGTTCAATATAAACTTCTAGATTCTAAGTGATAGATCTTAATAACCTTGAAATGGCTACTATGAATTAATCATATAAAGAAAAAAAAAAGTTATTTTAATCGAGGGAGTGTGAGCTTGTTCCGGGTAAAATTAATATATTTTTAGATTGAAAAGAGCGTCATTTTATGGCTTTTTTTTTAATATAGATCTAGTAAGAAATGAATCTTTATTGAACTACATCATATACAGGAATTGAGAAAGGCGAAACAGAAGGTAAATGATTCACGAATGTCGGGCCTCATCTCTCTCTCTCGAAAGCCATAAAAATGTATGGATAAAATCAAACATTTTTCACGAATTAAAATAATCTAAAATTTACTTTTCTATTATAACTTTTTTAATATAAAAATACTAGGCTTTTTGGATCTTCTCTGTGTATGAACCTTGCTGACCTTCTCATATTTGACTTCATTAAGTAACTGAAAATAATCAATAGAGTTGAGGCAATGCAATGGTGTATTAACGTATGGGCGAAAAAGGCAATTGCCTAAGGTCCACAACAACAGGGAACCCCAAACCAATCTTTTATAAAAGAAATATTTTCCACAAAAAACTCTCCTAAAGAAAAATATCGGGGTCCTCTAATACAAATTCGTCTGAGCTCAGTGAAACTATAACGCGCCACTGAGGCAATATAGAATAGATTTTGCATTATAAGAATGAGATGAAATGTAAGAGGAATTTTCAGAAATTTCGTGTTTATTGTATAGACATTGTATATTAAAAAAAAAAAAAAAAACTAGATATTATTTTTAATATAGTTCTTGGCCTCAATTAGATTTGAACCTGATCCCTCGTAGGAATAATTTAATAATGAGGAAATTTCATAATTATAAATGTATTTGTCATCGAATAACAAATTTTCCACGCCGTTTTTAATTTCTTTTCAGTTTGAGCAGCGTTAAAATCACATTAAACTAAATTACGATGAACATTGTGAGATTATTATCTTAAAAGTTTTCAATTATAACTGAAATCTTTATAGTCAGATTCAAGTTGCTCATCTGAAATAAGATTTTTAATAGAGTCATTCAGAGTAAATACGAGAGAGATGTCCTAACAATTTAAAAAGTATATTATGAAGATTTTCATTGCATTTCTTATTGCATAATTATTTAATCGATAAAATAATTCTCGATACATTTTGAATATTGGATAAAACTGGTAGTTGGTCAGGGGTTCATGCTCGTCCAACGGGTTGCCATGAATCTCGTGCTGTGTAGAGTTTTTCGGGTTTTCTTCACGTCTTCAACACCTAAATAGATGCAAGTTTCTCTAATAGAAAGTATTCGTACGTGACATCCCAGTCATTTTTTTCGTTGCATTGTCTTATCCTATCAACTGAATCCATATTTGCATAAGTTGTTGGCTTACTTAACAACGTTTAAAACTTCATAATTAGCCTATGGTAGGGCTGAGAGACTATTCTTAATCAGCAAGAGTGCAGAATTACTGAGATTGTACAGGCCTAAAGTATACGTAAAGGCAATGAATGACGTGACATGTCACCCTTCAATACGGACAAACATCTAAATATTTCCCTCTTGTTTTAAATTACGTGCATTTAAAATAATAAAATTCAACCAATTTTAACTAGAAAAATGGAAAAATATTATAAGATTTGTATGCAATTTCAGGCTTTACTAAACATCTTTTATGCTATGCAGTGAAGTAATAATTAAAGGCAAATAATGCCACAGTTAATAATTAAAATCATGCTCTTAATTACGTTTTGTTTTTATTAATTCATAAATTTTGTGGCATGATGATCTAATTAAAACTTCAAATGTAATTAGAACAACCTTAAAAAGTGGTTAACTGATTTTTCGGCCATCCTGCATATAAATTAAATTGTATATATGCTTATATATATGCGGTATGCATACATATGGAAGATAAATTATATTCTTAAGTATACCACATATGGTATATAAAGCATACATTTTTATATATATTTATGAAAAATTTCTTTTAAAATTTCAATAATTTTACAATGTTTTGATCTTAATTAAGCCATTCTTGAAGTTAATTTTATTAATAATATTTATCAATTTAATACTTTCATTATGGCAAGTAAACAGTTAAAATATGGGGGAAGATAATAGTTTTGGCATCAAAATTTGCTACATCCATCCCTGTGATTAAATGTATCGATTTTCGGAACCGGATCCATCACCGGAAAGGGAAGTAATTTAATTTTTTATAGCAATTTAATTGTGATGCCATTCATTCTCCACTGATATTAATATCGAAATCTGATGGGGGTTTCCTCTATTCTCTTCACAATTAAATTCCAATTTAACAAAACTAGCGATATAGCGGTTAATAGGCTAGCAATGATTATAATATTTGAACTTTGACAATGAATGAGAGCAATAATAACACACACAGACACCATACAAGTAGGCCTGCTGTCATACCTTATATATATATATGAACATTTATACTTTTTGTAAAATGTATTTTAATAGTTTCACATACAGAAATAAATACAAATTGAAGCACATAAAGTTTAAGACCAACAATCCGTTCGGTACTTCAGTTTTATTGCTGCAAAAGTAGTTTTGGACTCCTCCCAACAATAAATTTTATCATCAGTTTACTTTATATTACGTACCTTTTGTCTCGTTTTATATCCGAAATTAATTATAGAATAACACAATAAAGTTGACTAATGAGGAACTGAATGTACACACAAAACAAATATAATAAATTAAGTTTATTTTGTACCAGTAATTTTTAATTACTGAAATTTAAAAGTGAAAATAAATTAAATTTATAGATAGACAGACACCTTGCTTAATCATTGCAATTTCAAATATGTTTCTATCCAGATCTGTCCCTAATAGAACAATATACTATTAGGAATATCAATTTGAAAAACTAGTACAATAGTATGTTACAATGCTATAGAGGTTCAATGTGTCATTTAGCCTCTATATTCATGATTTCATTTGCATTGATTNAGTGCAATTTCAAATATGTTTCTATCCAGATCTGTCCCTAATAGAACAATATACTATTAGGAATATCAATTTGAAAAACTGGTACAATACTATGTTACAATGCTATAGAGGTTCAATGTGTCATTTAGCCTCTATATTCATGATTTCATTTGCATTGATTTTACTTCTAACCCTTCTGTTATATTATATTATAGTATTTAATTTATATAACTACAAATGTTATCTTACGTAAGGGTTTAAGAAGCATTATAGCTGGGTATTAAGTAAGTATTTTATGCTATAATAAAGTGTTTATATATTTGCAACAGTATATGGGAAGTATGTTTTCGTAAATATCGTGTTTATAGAAACATTATTGGGTTACAATTTCGACTGTTGTCTGTCTGTTAGATACATGAAAGCCGAGATCAGATGTAGAAAGCTTAGGAGGCAGAGATTAACTAAATAGGAACTTCAGGTTTGGAATGGGTGTCACGTTACTTCGATTCAAAATTTTCCCAGAACGAAGTCACGACTCTATTGCTAACAGGAAAAGTATGTTGTACAGGGGCAAGACCATCACTAAAAAATTGTTGCAGGCCGGCATTATGACGGTGTCATAATAAATAATAGTTTGGTTTATTTGGTTACTGCTAGGAATATGCATCCCAGGAAAACTTTTATGGGAAGTTGGACCCTATTTAGGTGAAGAAGACCTAAATACGGAAGAAAGTACTGTTCAGTAATAAAAAAAATCCGAATAGTTAGATGCTTAGTTATGGCAAATTACTTCCGGTTTCTCTTTCATTTGTTAAACACGTCACCGCCATTATAAACAGTTATGGGAGCTTTACGTTCTGGTATTGGAATACGAGGAAGTTCGCTATAGCTGTAGTTAAAAGCATGATTTTTTACAGTTAATGAATACTATAATATATTAACATAAATTACGGAAAAGTCGTTCTGCCATCTAGTGAGAGAAAATTATAAAAAAATTCACATATTGCCTGACAGATCATGTGAAAAGTGCTGACATCATTAGGGAATGTGCTGATTGGTTTGGCGTTGCTCGCAAGTTAATTCTTTCCATAGGCAGACTATAAAAGCTTTAGATTTAAAAAAAAATCTATTATATGTTATACTTTCTTACATAGAATTCTTAAAACTGTGTTTAAGAATTCCAAGTAGAATGTCATTCAGAATTCACAGAACTTAGGATATTCAAAGCAATGTACTCTTGTTCTTTTGTGGAGGGTTTTGATAAAGTCCTGGTAATTTTAACATCTTTTCTTCTCTTCTTGGTGGAAATGAATCCTCGTTTACGCTCACTGATTTTTTTTCCATTAAAATTCTCTTTGTTAACACTTGCTCGAATTGTCCTAATGTGGGTTCTATGGTTTTAACAGTTTGTCCATACCTTCAGCTTGTACAGATTGTAAACTTTCAACTAGCTTTTTAATATGATCTATGCGAGTTCTCAATTGGTAAACAAGGTGAATATGTTTGCACATATTGTATTTGATAGTTGAATCAGTGCATGTGCATGTGTACATATGAATGCAAGATTTACACTCATTACATACCATTTGACATTCACAATTTTCTTTTACCATAGCAACTGTATAGATAACTGTATAGAAAAGGAATTTTCTGTGTTATCCTCTTTTATAACAAGATCTTTGCATAAGCTTAAAGCTAGTTCTGTGCCTTTTTTCAGATCAGGAAGCTTGCTTGTTACTTTCCCTTTATATATGACAATGATTCTATCATACATCTTATCTCTTAAAAAGTCATTACAGCATGAATTGCTTTACTAAATGCATTATTTTCTTTCCTTGCAAATATAAGTGTTTAATGCACTTATGCATATTCTCTATGTGCATATTTATATTTAGCCCGCAAAAAGTCCAATATCTTGCAGTTTTCATATAGTTTTCTTTGAAATATTGTCCAAAATCAGTTGTTACAGGATCATTAATCAACTTTATTACTGCTACTTCTGAAATGAATTCGGATGTTTCTTCATCTTTCTTGCATCAGCGATCGTATGATTTTATACACTTTAGTCTGTTTCTCTTTAGATTTTTCTTGCGCCATGAACGACCAATATGCTACGAACAATATAATCTTTGAGCAAGTACTCATATAACATGCACTTGAAAGCCATAACTGACAAATATGTTTGGTAACAAGGAGCTTACTCGTTCTTTAATCTTAGAAAAAGTCTGTAATGTCTCCTTGTCAGTTCTATTACTAAACAAAAAAGCACAAGGAAATCCTTGTTATATGTCATCATTATTAGCATTGATATTAATTCAAAATCATAAGCATTAAGTCCTAGGTCCTATCAACATACATAGCATCATTTTAATATTTTTCTAACATCAAAGTATGACCATCATTCGTAATAGCTAAAACAAAGCCAGATTCTGCTAAATGAAGATATTCTTCCCATTTCTTATCTTATGGTTTATAAAACAACACACAATCATCATTGCAATCTCTCATATCATTCACTTACCGAATCATTTGGATGTCTCACAGATTTTGATGCCAAATGGAAATTATTCTCAATATTATATAGATCCTTTCTGGTTACTGAATAAAGTCTCTGTAGTAGTTCTGGTGTTGATAGACTGTCTCTGACTTCCTCTATTATGGCATTGAAATATTTCCTCGAAGAAATGTTTGCTGCTAATATACTTCTATCGTTTTATGACAAAACTATATGACAATTTATTTTGAAGGCTTACATGTTGCGGAGTGAAAGTAACAATACAATTTTTGTCATCTTTTATGCTCATTTTCATTTGGGATGATTGATTTCCCAATCGATCTTTTTGCTTTCTTGTTTTTTTTTAAATGAAGAATACTTTTTTCCTCACTTATGAAGTAACCAGATCTATGACAGTTATAATATATAGAACTATTAAGCTTAATATTCGTTTCTGAACAAAACATTAAATTTGTAGCCTATTTAATAGTATTTTCCACTTTATTTTTCCATTTCTTAAAAATCACTAAATGAATTAAATGTCTGAATATAATTAGATATAGTAATATCATATATCTCGCTGAAGTATGACAATATTTCTTCTTTTTTTTATAATATTTACCTAAACACAAACTACATTTAAATAATTTAATATCTTTATCATTCCTTTTACAGTCCTTTATAGCCTATGCTTTGCTTTAATACGTACTCAGGATCTTGTCTTGTATCGTCTAATTGGGCATGAGCTTCTAGGCTATATAAAGTGTGACACTGTATTGCATATAGTGTATAGTAATAACCATGTAATAGTGACGTAATTGTCATGCATGCGTGCGATGGTCGTTAAGCGGAAAATAATGCCTTCCTGGAGATCTTTTTAAGGGTAACTGGTCCCTATTCAGGCATTACAGACGTCCCCCCATTTTGAGTTTTGCCAAACCCATAATAGGCTTGCTAAAAAGGTTCTCTTAATGCTCACAGAGTGGAAACAGTTTTTTAAAAAGTAAATATTCATTTCAAATGCAGTGGAAACTCGATTATAAGAACTTGATGGTACAAAAGGTTTTTCGGATAAACGAAATTTCGGATAATCTAAAAACTCGTTCGTTTTTTTGTTTTGAATATATCAAACACTATGCATTTAAAGCTTTATGAACTATAAATACTGTATTTGAAAATCCTTCATGAAGTTTGTAAATACAATACATTAGCTGTTACCTGCGACTTCTCCGGCGAGGGGTTTTGCAAGCAAACCCCATTTATATTCAGTATTTCAACAACTATAGTAATTGTTATATAACACCTACCGCTGAGAATGATGAGAATTGCTGAGAATCAAACGAACTATTTTCAATTTGATCAATTTTCTGACACGTTTACAATCGTTCTATAATCGAATCAATATGCAACAACAAATTCGAATTTAAAACGATTAGAACATTTGGTTAAAAACACGAAATATATAAAAATATTTATAACAATGTCTGAAATGTTATCAATTTAATACACTTAAGTACTCAATGAAGACTAAACGTAGTTGAAAACAAATACAGTAGAGCGTCGTTTATCCGAAAGCATTCCAGTCGGCAAATTTAAATTTTCGCTAGTGCTGTGGCGCTGAAATCTTTGGCTATATCTTGGGATACTCCAATATTTTTTTGGTTGGTGTGTGTGTTTTAGCTGGCAGCACTGACACTTTTGTGTGGTGTTTTTCTGAGGATTGTGTGTCGTTCTGAATCGAACGTTTTTGATACTAGATCAACTTCTAAAGTATATTTTTTTGGTTTTTATATTTTTCAATATATTTATTTTGTTTGTACAAAATAAAAAAAATAATTTTTAACGATACAATAGCCACGATTATTATTTTAAAAAGTTTTCGTTAGGCTTAACATCGACGAAAATTCAACGCGACGCGACACGCAACGGAGAAAAATTTCAACATGGGATAGGTTAATATATTTTTTCGTGCATAATCGGTTATCCGAAAAATAAGTTATCCGAATAACCCCAGTCCCCAATTGATTCGGATAAACGACGCTTACTGTAATCGCATCTAAAATAGTATAATAGAAGCCGTTCTTCAGGTTAATTAATTAAGCCTTAATCCTTTCCTTCTCCCGCGGGGAAATTTTGAAAAAATCCCTTCTTATTGTGCGTTTTGCATGATGTACCCTAACTGTGTACAAAATTTCACCTCTTTAGGTTCAGCGGTTTGCTCTGGGCGATGATGAATCAATCACTCAGTCAGTCAGGACAAGTAATTTTATATATTTAGATTGTTACTTACATATATGACTTAGTTTTGCGGCGCTATAATCGACAGATAACATGGTAATTTCTAGTTACATGGAGAATTTGGTCTATATATATTATACTCTGTGGTATATACGCGCATGTCCAAAACGATGGGCGACATTTGTACTTGCACATGAATAGAAAATTATAGATGAATTCATACAAATAGGGGCTAGAATTATATGCCTCGACGTCTTTTTTTATTCTTTTTGCTTTTTCCGCCCTGTGGGCACTAAGAGGGCCTCTTTTATCAAGCCCATTATGGGTTCGGCCAGGCCCACAATAGAGCGCTCGGGTGGTTAGGAACAGGGCCGACATATTCGATCTCATCACCCCCGAAAAATTCTTGAGAATTTTTTGACCCATCTGGAATCGATCCTGAATCACCCAAAGCGGTAGGCTCGGCCATCCGGCCGTCTATGCCTCGATGTCTAACATAGGGTAATACACAACTTGTAAGGTTTTACAAATCAAAGCAAAAAAATAAAAAGAAGAAGAAGAAGAAGAAGAATACATACAGCAGTTGGACATAAAAATCTTCTAGATAAGTATTTCTGGAAAAGAATATTTTTTGGAAGGCTTTTATTTTCTACTAATGTCTATATTCTCTTTAAAGTTAAGCATAATGCCTGAACGTTGAATATTATTCAGCTTTGTCGGGAAAAAAAAAATATATATATATACAAATGTAAAGCCAACTTTCCGATTTTTTAATATAAAATTCAAGTATTTATATTATAGCCTGGAGGTTCTAGGTGGCTTTTTGTTACTCTTTCTGTCCTATAGGCACTAAATAGGCTTTTTTTAATCAAGCACATCATGGATTTGGCCAGGGCAACAATGAGATGGACGGATGATAAGGGATGGGATCCGCGGTATCAGAGACGGACTGTCCCGAAAAATTGTTTGAAACTGCTAAAGCGTCAGCCTTCCGCTCTGGGGAAACGAAATCGAATCCGACAGAGCAACTCCCCAGGAATTTTTCATAGGCAATATGTCGGATCTCGTCCATCGCTACTCGACCGCCCTCATTGTTTGACTAACCTATTGCACGGTGGGTATGGAAAATGACATCTCGGTGTCTACAGGGCAGAAGAGACAAAAAATGAAAAAAAAAATTATATATAATGGCCTAGTGCCCTTGTGGCATTTTGTAATTTCTCAAGCATCTATAATGAGCATAAATAATATCGGCCAAATAGTCCATAGTGTATTACGATTAGCGCTTACAACTCAGTCGAATATGTTCAAAAATTTTATAATATTTTCTTTATAGATTTTGAAATAGTTATAGTTAATAAGTTAATTTAAATATCATTAAAGAATTAATCTGTATTTATAAAAATATATATTTATTTGATCAATCCTAATTTATTAGATGGCGCTGTAGCTTCGAAGCCGTGTTTGTCATTTGGATTTCTGAACTATTTAATATGGATTTATATATATCAATATTACTATTATATATTTGTGCTATTATACATATTCAGGTAAGTCAACTAATGAATCATTTACGTAAGATTCGATTTATTATAAGATAAATTTTATATTATTTATTTATATATTTTTTTAAATTGCGCCATCTGGTGATGCACTTGAAAGTAGGTAGTGACTTTCATGTTGTCCGTTACACGTGGTTTGGATATGATTTTTTAGTAAGTTGGTTATTTTGTTACAATGTCGTGTTTGTTAAAGTATCAGAAATATGTTAGAAATCTTCACAGACACAAAACTCGGACTTTTCTTGGGTTTCCCGCGCAAATTTTGCATTCAAGGACTTCTTCCATGTACAAGCCTCCAAATAACATTACGAAATCAAAGAAGCAGTACGAAGAACTAGTTAGACTATTAGAAACACATATTAAAACATTAAAACAGAAAGAGATCTGCATAAATGATAGAAATTCTAATATTGTGAATGGTTATGTGCAAGAATTTATTGAAAGTAATGAAATGAATGCATTAGAAGCAGAAATCAATCCACTTTGTGATAATGCACAGGATAATTCAGTTTTTTCTCATTCAGGTGATATTGTAAGTGATATTGATCCAGCAAGTTTTGATTTAGAAGTTCTAATGCCTCCAATCAGTAACTTAAGTGAAGATAATTTGTATCAGACTTTCAGCGAAAATCTTCATATTGATAATGACTATATAGAAGCAACTAATACCAAAATTCCAATTGATGAAATTGATCCTGATGTAATAAATACGGCGATAAGAGAAGAACTAGAAATTGAAGAAGTAAAACTTGTAAATGAAGAGAAGAAAAAGAAGAAAAAATTGAAACTCAGCAAAGATGATGAAGAAAAGCTCACAAAGAGAAAAATTGAGTTGAATATACTTGAGAAAGAAAGAGTATTGTTATCTGATTTGGAATCATTTATAGAAGTTTGTATTTATTCTAAATTAATTGGGAAAGCTCATTATACTTTAAAATATTATTTTTTAAGAGGACTTAGTTCAGATAAATATCCAAAAGTAAGGGATATAAGAGTTTTTGATTTATTATTATCTGGATGGGCACTAAAAGGTAATCTATATAAATTTAAACAATTGCTTGAACTAATGAAAGAAGGAAATATAAAACCTAGTTTGCAAACTTATGCCAGTTATCTAGAATGTTTAAGTCGTCAGAAGATAATCAAAATTTCTGATGTTGAGAATGTTCTCCAGACTATTAATGATAATGGATATAAAGTTGATGATATTTTTGTTCAATGTAAGTTTAAAAAAGATCAGAAGGAAAAGATTACTGAAGTTATTAAAAAAGTAAATTCAAGTTTTGAACCCAAACCTCCTGTTTATATAAGAGAATATCATTGTAATCTTCTGAAAAACTTAAATAATAATGAAAAATTAACTACATATTCTCCATCAGCAGGACATACTGCTAATGAATTAAAAAGTTTTATGTTAAATCAATTTCAGTCAGAAGTCAATGGTAATGTGAAGGTTATGTCTATCAATAAAAATGAATTTATTGATAAAAAAACTCTGAATGCAAGAAATAAACTAAAAGAAATAGAAGAAAAGTGGAAAGAAGAAATTAAAAAAACTTTTATTAAAAATAGAAAGATGCTTCAAGTTCATTTGCTGAGATACCGAGGTGTAATTTTATATCCTTATTTAACTGTGTTAGATACTGATGTTTATGTTGGTTTGATTATGGAAGAAATTCGCAATTTAATGGCTCTTTCAGAAAGTTTTAGTCCATCCCTTTCATACTTGCATAATGACTTGGGTCTAAAGGTAATGAAGAGATATATAGCATGGTACAAACAACATAATGGAATTGCAGACAAATTGATGAAACTATACGAACAATATTTAGAATATTACACTGATACAGAATTGACGACATTGTATTCTCCAAGAGAATATTGGGAAATATTGAAAGCAAAACATTTTATGGGTCCTTGCATTGATGTACAACATGGAGTTTGGCCTTATCATGTATTATTAGGAGTTGGAAAATTTTTATATGATATTTTATTAAACAGTACTAAAATCAATGTAAATATGTTTAAAACCAAATCACAAAAACAGATGCGTTCTGCATTTCATTGTGTTTTGAGAAATTTTGGACTTCATTCTAGACATAATATAAAACCAGATCCAATTATTGCAAAACTTTACAAAGATGCAGTTAATGAAGAATTACATTTTGAAACAAATTTATTGCCCATGCGTTCTCCACCATTACCTTGGACTTCAGTTACAACTGGTGGGTTTTTACTTTTAGAATCTTCATTAATTCGCTTACCTCTTTCAGCTAGTTATCAGCATGCTAATATAAAGAATACAGCTGTACAACAATTATATCCTTCATTTGATTCGTTAAATGTTTTGTCACTATGTCCATGGATTATTAATAAACCAATGTTAGAACTTGCTATAGAAATATTTAATAATGGTGGCTCTTCTGATCTTGATATTCCAAGTTATCCATCAGAACTTTCAACTCTTAATTTAGAAGGAATGACTAAATCAAAGAAAATAAAGTTAAAACAGGAAAGAGCAGAGATGTATAGTTTATGGTGTGATGCTCTATATAAGTTATCTATTGCAAATCATTTCAAAGATGAAGTATTTTGGTTTCCTCATAACATGGATTTCCGAGGCCGTGTTTATCCCACACCTCCTCATTTCAATCATCTTGGTGGTGATATGACAAGAAGTATTCTTTTATTTGCACAAGGAAAACCTTTGGGAGAGAAAGGATTGGATTGGTTAAAAATACATTTAATAAATTTAACAGGATTTAAAAAGAGAGAGCCAATTAGTGAACGTTTACAATATGCAAATGAAATCATTGATGAAATATTAGATTCTGCAGATAATCCTCTTACTGGAAATAAATGGTGGATGAAATCTGACAAGCCTTGGCAAACCTTAGCATGTTGTAAAGAAGTTTCTTACGCATTAAGATCTCCAGACCATAAAAAATATATTTCACATTTACCTATTCATCAAGATGGTTCTTGCAATGGTCTTCAGCATTATGCTGCTTTGGGTCGGGACCAGCATGGTGCTGAACAAGTTAATTTATATCCATTTGATAAACCACAAGATGTATATACTGGAGTTGCTACTCTAGTAGAAAGAGAAAGAGCTAAAGATGCACAAAATGGTGTTAAAATAGCACAAATATTAGAGGGTTTTGTAGAAAGAAAAGTAATTAAACAAACTGTAATGACTGTTGTGTATGGAGTAACTAGATATGGTGCACGATTACAAATATTAAAACAACTTAAAGACTTAAAAGAATTTCCTCAAGATTATGCAAATCAAGCTGCATCTTATTTGGTCCAGAAAACATTCTTCAGTATTCGAGAAATGTTTACAGCTACTAGAGAAATTCAGGACTGGTTCACAGATTGTGCCCGAAATATTTCACAAATTCGTACAGAACCAGTACAGTGGGTGACTCCTCTTGGTTTGCCAATTATACAGCCTTATCATAAATCAACAACACACACCTGTCTTCCTAATTGGAAAAGCAGTAAATCAACATACACAATGAAAAATAATATTTTTGCTCCTCCAAATGTTCTGAAACAAAAAAATGCCTTTCCACCAAATTTTATTCATTCTTTAGATTCTAGTCATATGATGCTAACTTCATTATTCTGTAGAAAAGAAGGTATTACTTTTGTTTCTGTTCATGACTGTTTTTGGACTCATCCTTGTGATGTAGAGATTATGAATAGAATTTGTCGTGAACAGTTTGTTGCTTTGCATAATGAACCAATATTAGAAAATTTATCAGACTATTTTTATAAACACTATGGATATCATGAAGAAGAAAAGATAAAAAGTAACTCTACCTTAAATTTATCAAAAAAACATATTAATAAATTATTAAGAGATATTCCAAAGAAAGGCACTTTTAAACTTGAGAATGTTTTAAATTCAGTGTATTTCTTTAGCTAATGAAACATGATTTCATTGAATAAAGTTTATTATTTGAATTGATTTGTGTGGTTGTTAAATTTTATTTGATTGAATACTTAATCTATGATTTACAGATTTCGATTTGCTCAGATAGTTTTTATTTAAATGGTAATAAAAATTTTTACTCTGATAAGGAGTAGCATTCCAAACCTGGATGGGAAATGCTAGTGATCCCTGATAGTTCTCTGGGAATCATTTGAAGGTTAACACTGCATCTTTTACCTGTGACAAATTATGGAAATTATAATGAATTCAAACTTGGATCCATATGGTATTGGTCTTAAACAGTGGTCATGCTTAGTAATTTTCAGCTATGCAGTTGCCTGCACAACTGAAAATTACTAAGCATGACCACTGTTATCTATTGCATATTGCTAAGATGCAGATCAATGGTCTCATACTTAGTTTATCAGAAGGCTAATCTCAGATACATTCAGAATAATTAAATATTTTTGTTTTTAAACTGCATAGAATCTGGCAACAGTACCTACTCTTTAGGGACTAACAATGCTGATTAGCTAGTAAACAACATAAAATGAATTTATAAATAAAATAGGTATAAATTGTACCCAGTGAGTAAAAAATTAAATATATTTAGCTCAGTAAACCAATGATTAATTGGGATTCCAACTTGTTCCTATTTGCCACCATTTTAATAGGATATGGTAATCATAAAGATATTTGTTCGTACTTTCAAAAAGGAGTTTGTTAGTTAACAAGAATAAATGTCATGGTTGCAGTTGTCTGTGTGACTGAAAATTGCAAAGTATGACTGCTGTAATGCACTTCAGCATAGCAATCATAACCTTTAGAAAATGTGAGGTGTAGCTAGGGATGTCCTGATAATACCAATACCATATTGATACTTTCCTTTGATAATCAATTACTTTTTGTACACAATACTTTTGGTCCAATACCGGTATTGGTACTTTTCCTGAAGTATCAGATCTGGTAGTGTTATATTTTTCACAAACAGATAAGATTTTACCAAAATTGGATTATGCGCAAAAGCTGAATCCAAAACCAACTGATATGGGTTTTAAGGTCAGTTTTGGCTAAAAATGAAAGCAAAAAATAATACACTATTTTTGGTTAAGTTAAATTTATATAGTAAATATTAATGATCAAAAATTAATAAATTTATTGCATGAAATTTTCATTTTTAGAATCTATATACAGTATGCTTAGAGTTTAGAGTACTATTTATAAACAATTTGCCAATTAATAAACTTTAAAATATATTAAAATCTCAAATCAACTGATACAGTATTGGTAACATTTAGTTTATGTTAGAAATCAGTTTTAATAATTTGTTAATAATAAATAACTAGAATAAAGTAAGTTATTTATGTTAAAATTAATAGTTTCAATTACACAAAATGTTTCAAAATCAAGCCACAGACTAAACAATGACAGATGGCAAGATTTCCAGTTTCAATACTTGATGCTGTTACTAGCTGGTATCAATACTTTAAAATCAATACCAATACTGGTATTGATACTTAAAATCTACTCATGATACTGGTATTGATTTTCACTTTTCGTCACCAGTTATGATTCGCAGACATTTGAGAATCAAGTCACAGATGTCAAATGCGATGGATCAAATCTTTCTTTAAGAACATGTGGAACCCATATATTGAGCTTAACAAAACCAAGTCATTTCAAGTGATCATAAACAGTTGAATTAGACAAATTTAATCTCTTAGCGATTTCTCGTGTTGTTATTCGGTGGTTTGCTTCAATCAATACCTTTATTTTGTCTTCATCAGCTTCAATTGGCCTTCCAGAACGTGGTGCATCTTCAATATTGAAATTGCTGGAACAAAATTTTATGAGTTAGTTTTGGCATTGTCATTCTGTCAACACACCTTCTCCATACATACCACACAATTTTTTCTTGCTTGAACAGCATTTTTATCTTTCTGGTAATAAAAAGCAATGCCGAAAATGCTGCTTTCAATTTTCCATATTTGTTGGGACAGCAAAAAAAACAATTGCAAAGAATCAAACAGAAGTTTTTACAAATAAGCCTTGAAATGTCAGCTGTCAAAATATATAATGACAATATGATTTAGAATGAAATTGGAAGGTAAAAATACAACTAATTCCTCTGGTGGTTAAAAAAAAAAAACGAAATTACTTTCCAAATAACCCAATAATTTTTATTTTCCTCAATGTACATTGTTGGGATTTAAAATGTTCAATGATGGAAAAAATGACCAGAATGCATTGTGGCTTTACAAAAACAACCATAACACAAAATTGTGTGTCTTAGCTGCTTATAAAGAGTCATGATGTGTTCTGGCATTTTAAAAATTGCAATAATTTGGTTATTTGTTGAAAATGTTAAAAAAAAATTACAATGCACCATGATTGTTTCTTGTTTATTCTGTAATAACTTACAGATAAAGTGTTTAAGATAAATATGACTAAATATGTAAAATAACCAAGAACAACAGCCAAACCTCAATTAATTTTGCAGAACTGTTAGAACAATACTTAAAATTACAACTAATATCTTTCAAAAGGCATTTGCAGTGTTTATTTTTAGGTAATTTTATATATTAAATATAGTGCACTCTTTCTGATTTAATTCAATTTTGTTCATTTTTCCATTAATCCAGTCAAAAAATAAATAAATAGTAGAATACTACTCATGGCTTTCAATACATGCCTCACATATTTGAAGAGCTTTCTTAACTAAATGTGTGATTAAATAAAAATAATTGCCCCTGTGTATGTTAACATACTAAATCATTTGTTAATATATTTTGTCATATTTTTATTGGCATTATTTCAGTTCATCACTAAAATAATTACATGAATTTTTAATATCTATTATTTTGGGCTTTACAGAAAAAGCTTTCTTTTACTGATATAAACTTCAAATTGTAATTTGAAGTTTGTATTATTTGATTAATTGTTAGACAGTTTTGATAAATTCTTTTATATAAACTGTTTAATTCAAGTTGAATTTAAAGATTTTTGGCTTCTTTCTGAAGTTTTGTTATAATTAGAAAGGAGTTTTTATGTATATATATCTAATTAAAGAAAAAACTAGTGGGTGATCGGTTAACAAACAAATCAGATAACGAACACTTTCGTGAAAGATTTTTATGATCGGACAACAAACACATGTTCGGATAATGAACACTTCACTGAACAAACATAAAAAGAAGCGACGGAAAATAACAAATACTGTTTGATTTTCCCTTGTCTTCAGGTAACAATTCGAAACCTTTTCAGAGCGCTGGAGACGTCCACATCAACACTCAACCCAATACCGATCAGCTAGTGTTTCCCTGAACTTTGAAACTCTCCATTGTAATTCCATCTTTTTGTTTACTTTTCTGACAAATAATTTTTTTATAGTCTTCATGAGACTGGAGACTGTCGGGCACTCCATAAGTTTTGCGTTGGTTTTTATTTTCTAAAGGTGAAAGTTTAACTGTCCTTTCAGGTATTCATTAATGTTTTAACACCAAAATTTTGAATTAGGGTGAATCAAATATAAATGGAATTTTTGTTCCTGAGCAACTAAGGTTGGCAGTACAGGGCCTGTGCATCTAGTCTGATTGAGTAGGGTCATTAGGAGTGGGGAATGCCAGCCGTTTTATCATTTCAACCAATTCGTCAGTAGTGCTCATAATGTCGGAGCAACAGGCACACCACTCTGTTGCGCAATGCATAATCATACAATTTGTTGTTTGTGAAGGAGTCAACGCAACAGAAATTTTTCACAGATTGACTGCACAGTTTGGGAATCAAACACTGTCAAGGATTCGTGTGTTTGCCTGGCATAAAAAGTTCAAGGAAGGATGGACATGAGTGGAAAATCAGAAACACGATCACCGTCCTCGGACCAGCATCACAAGCGAAAACATTCAAGCGGTTTGAAACATTATTGAAGAGGAGAGACGAATCAGAGTTTGTGAAATTGCAGTGAAGGTCGGAATAAGTTATGGAAGCTGTCAAGCGATCGAGATGTTATTCTCCTCCATGACAATGCCAGGTCCCATACTGCAGCTCTAACAGCCTCAAAACTTAACAAAATGCACTGGACTGCACTTGATCATCCTCCCTACAGCCCGGACAGCTCCCTATAGCTCCCTATTGCCCTGCGATTTTCATTTGTTTGGGCTGCTTAAAGAAGCTATAGAAGGGCAGCGATTCAAAGATGATGTGGGAGTGGAGGAATTCGTGCACAATTGGCTCTTGACACAACCAACTTCATTCTACGATACTGGAATAAGAAACCTTCCTTCTCGCTGGGGAAAATGTATTTCTATAGCAGGAAGCTATGTAGAAAAATAAATCATAATGTTTTTTTATTTTTTAAAATTAAGTATAAGTAACAAATAAGATATAATCATAAATTTACTTTTAGCTATCATTATGGAGAATTTCTCGTTATTTTATTCTAATGAAGAAGATGCTTTGTTGAGTTATGCAGATATCAGAAATTTTCAGAGTACTTGGAATATGGTAGACATCCAGCAAAGAGTAAGTCTTTATTTCATTGAAGAGATCATAAATATGTATCTTTGATTTTTTTTATTTTTTCTTTGNAGACCAATTGAATTACTTTTGGTAGCTAATGCTAGTGGTGATATGAAGCTTATCCCACTTTTTGTCTATCACTCTGAGAACCCTAGAGCATTCAAAAAAATTCCATAATTAAAGAAAAACTGCCAGTGGTGTGGAGATCGAATAAAAGGGCATGGATCATGCAGGCTCTTTTCAAAGAATGACTGTTTGAAGTTTGTGCTCCAAACATCAAGGATTACCTTCAGACCAATGAATTGCCATTAAAAGCACTGTTGCTATTGGACAATGCACCAGGACACCCAAAAGACCTTTAAGATAATTTGCTGGAAGACTTTCCTGGCTGACAGTTCAGTTTCTACCTCCGAATACCACTTTGTTCATTCAACCAATGAATCAAGAAGTTATTGCAGGTTTCAAGAAATTGTACATTCGAGCACTGTTTTGTCAGCATTTTGAAGCATGCCAGTTCTCCTCAACAATGATATTAAAAACGTTTTGGAAAGAAAAATTTGGTATTCTTGAAGCTATACAGCTCCTTCAAAATGCATGGTCAGAAGTCATGCAATGACAGTTGAATTCTGCTTGGCAAAAGCTGTGTCCCTCCTGCATTCAGGGAGAGAGAGATGATGTCCCTGAAATTATGGATAAAATTGTGACAACTGCTAGAGATCTGGAATTGGAAGTGAATAAAGATGACATTGAAGAGCTCATAATGGAATCTGAAACTGATCTGACAACAGAAGAACTCCAAGAATGCCAAAATGAAGATCACCAAGAAACTCAGCAAGATGTGTTTTCTTCTGAAAAAGAGGAAGACGAAAGAGGATCAATGTCGACATCTACTACTAAAGATCTTTTGAAGAAGTGGGAAGATGTCAGAACAATGGTCTTAGAATGGCATCCAAACCAAGTTGAGGTTAATAGGCTTGGGGATATCTACGATGACAATGCTATTAATTACAGTAGATCCCCCTATAAAACCGTTTCCTATAGTTATGATTCCTATAAAAATTGTGGCATTATCCGTAAACAACGGTAAAAATAACTCCTATAATACGTAAAACGTCATCGGGCAGCCGAACTACTTACCCGCCGTCCGTAGCGCCACGCTACGGAGAGATTTCTATCGTCTGGACAGTATTATATAAATTATATATAAATTAGGTACTGTACATATAATTATATATTAATTATATATAAATTAGGTACTGTATATATAATTATATATTAACTTAATTTATTGTAACTTTATTATAATTAAATATATATTTTTCGCCGTCTAGCGTCACGCTACGGCGAGTTAGGCGACCTATCGTCTGTTTAGTACTGTAATTTTATACATTTCTTGTGAAAGAAACATTTCTTATTTAACGGCCATAAAAATTATTTATATTAATGATGTCTCCAAAGGTCAACGAAGTTTTAGCAGAAAAATAATATCAGAAATAGCGGCCGCAATTTGATGCGCTGTTCCGCGACGAAACCAAGCTTTAGCAACGAGCGTAGTC